TCAACTTATATCAAAAGTTCTTTTAATTTGCAGATGCAATGTATTTAAGAGATTATAAATTATGTTTCTTTGAGGATGTAAGGAATCTCCGGCTAAAAAAATGTTCTTCTCTCCTTCCACTTCAATCCAACTGCAACCAGGTGGCTTTTTGAATTCCCTCTCTTTCATCAGCCTTCTTACCTCAAGGACACCATCCCATTTAGCATCTGCAGCGTAAAGGTTTGACATAACCACATAATTTCCTATATCATCAGTTTTAGTTTCAAAAAGGTGCTCTGCGGCAACAAGGCCCAACTCCACTTCATGGTGAGTCTTGCAGGCACCTAAAAGTATCCCCCATATATTAGCATCAGGCTCGATAGGCATACCAATCACAAAAGAATATGCATCGTTGATTCGGCCACATCGTGAGAGGAGATCCACCACACAAGCATAGTGTTCCTTGGTTGGTTTGATGTGATGAACCTCTTCCATTGAATGGAATATGTCTAAACCTTGATCTACAAGACCAGTATGACTACATGCAGATAAAATGGAAGTCATGACCACATCATCCGGCTTAACCCCTGATTCTAGCATGTTATTGAAAACCTTGAGTGCCTCCTCTCCCCTCCCATGCATTGCATACCCACTCATCATTGATGTGTACATAACTAAATCTTTCTGAGAGCTCGATTCGAAAAGCTTACGAGCGCAATCTACAACTCCACATTTCGCATATGCGTCAAGTAAAGCTCCGTCTAAGCATACATCCTCAAAACATGATCTAACTGAATATCCATGACATTCTTTCAACTGGCGAAATGATGCCATTTCATTGCATAGGGGTAGAAGGCTCATGATAGTCACTGCATCCGGTTTCATACCCTCATTTTGCAACCTATGGAGAAGTTCGAGAGCATCTCGAGGACTATTATTCTCAACATAAACCCGTATCATCAGATTCCACGTCGTAAGATCAGTCTCAGACATCCCAGCAAATACTGAAAGCGCATCACTGGGCGACTTACAATTAACATAGCAAGAAATCATCGAATTGCATGTCACTAAGTTTCTTTTTCCTGATGAGCCTGCAAAAATCTTTAACGCATAATCTATATTACCACATTTTGAATATGCATCAAGAAGAGCATTGAGTATAGTAGGACCAGAATCACCCTCAAGGAAACAAGCTTTAACTGAATAACAATGAGTCTCCTTAACCATCCTTCCTCCTAAAACTGTAACGCAAAAACTGATTATACTCAAGATAGTAAAATGATCAGGTTTGAATCCTTCCTGCAGCATCCAGCCAAGGAGATGCAGGAATTGAGTATGGTTCCCAAACTCGGCAAAAGCGTTAAGCATTGAATTCCAAGATATCAAATCTTTACCAGAAACCATGGAAAATGACTGAAATGCTGATTTGATATCATAACATTTTGTATAGAAGTTAATTAAAGCATTTCCAACTGTTAGATCTTCACTCAAAATAGGATGACGAATAATATAACCATGGATCATTTTCCCCATTCCCAAGTTTTGCGAGTATGCACAAGAAGGTAAAACACTAATTAAAGTTACAGAATCAAACTCAATCCCTAAGCATAGTAACTTGCAGAAATGATCTACAGCTTCCAACCACTTATCATTTAATGAATATCCAGAAATTAAAGTATTCCATGAAACTAAGTCTCTCTGCTTCATGTGCCAGAACAAGATCTCTGCTTCTTCTATCTGTCCAACCCTCAAATAAAGGTTCATCAATGCATTGCAGACGAAAATATCTTCCATCAATTCAGTCCTATGCTGCACATAACCATGGATCTCTTTTCCAAACCTGTAGGAAACATGCTTACCAAAGGAAGCACAAACAGGTAAAATACATGCAATTGTTACATAATTTGGTTCTATGAGTTCTTTCAGCATCAGATTGAACAAGTGTAATGCATCAAACATTAAATTCTTTTCTGCCAAAGCGGATATTATAGCATTCCATGAAACAACATCTTTGTGAATAATGCTGTTAAATGCAGCATATAAATCGTTCTGTGAGTGCCCAGATTTTGCATACATTGATATGAGAGCATTTCCAACAAGAGTATCCCTTTCCAATCCAGTTTTCATGATATGAGAATGTATGCTCCTCCCAACAACACCTTGCCCTACACGAGAACATACTGGAAGAATGGTAGCAATTGTAATTGCACTCGGCTTCACTTCCCCCTCTGCATGCATCTTAACAAATAATCTCATAGCCCTAGTATCATGTATTTGGGACCGACAATACCCAGATAAGATTATGTTCCAGGTAACAACATCACGGTATTCCAACTGTTCAAATAATTTCCAACAATCATCAAAAGCACCACATTTGGCATACAAGTTCAGCAATCCCTTATACACAGACTGGCATGCTAATTCCCCCTGTTTCACTGTATAACCTTGAAGTGCCTTTCCTACGTTGATGGCAAAAAGGGCAGCACATGATTTGAAAACAACAGCGAAAATGTGGTTATCGGGTTTAAAGCCTGATGAGCATTGGAACTTATGGACAAAAAGGGACAAAACTTCTAGGTGTTTTGCATTTAAACAAAGATTTCCAATCATCGAAGTCCATGACATGAAATCCAGTGGAAGCATATCTAGGAGGGCTCTTACATGCTTATAATCCAATCACTGGAATCAACAAAATTAGTCAGCTTGCAACCCCAATCAATGCCTTCTTGAATCGAGCCTAGCAACAGGGGCCTGTAATTGTTTATCGGGACACCGGATTCAAGTATTAGATAGGCTAGCAACATCTAGGAAGAAGTTTTTCTTTGTTGAACTTACTTTTGATCTACAACTTTGACTGCTATGACTGAATATTAGTATCTAGTTCTAAAATTTTATTACAACCTGATTCACCATACTAAACGCATAGTTCCAAAAAAAAAAAAAAAAAAAAAAAAGCTCAATAAGAAATCATATGTTAACTTCATGTGCTACTAGACAAAATAAAAGATAAATGAAAATAGACCATTAAGCCTAAGAATTACAGCCATTGTTGGAAACTGCATTCTGAAATAACATTCCTTCTGTACATTAAAAATTGTCCCCAACATACTAACATAAGACTTGAAAACACAATTGAACGATCAATAAGCTATTTCGAAACTCATAAACTTGGTCAGCTTAAAAGTTAATCGATAACAAAATGGTGAAGAATTCCAAAGAAAACATTTAGAATGACAAAGAACTCAACTGCCATTTTTACCAAAAACAAGCCAACGTTATCACATATATTGTACAAAGTTTGCATGCTCAACATTATCACAACCTATATCTCTTAACACTCCAGTCTAGTGAACCATTTTGTAGAAATATTAAACAAAAGAAGAAGCAATGCTAACCCAATCAATACAAAAAGAATACATAAACCAGTTAAATATTACCGTTCTTCAACATTCGAGACTTAACACAATTCCCGATCGACATAAACATAACAATTTAGTGCAGAAAAATCACAATTCAGAAACCCTAAACAATTGGAACTCTTCTCTCATAAAACCTAACACATAAATCCATAAACTAGTTATATGGCAATCTTTTTAGAGCTCTTGCGAATCCCCATCCCAAGCATCTTCGACGCACAAAATAATTCCAGAAATCAAAAGAACAGCTAAACAAAGAAGCCCATATCCATCTTTATCCAAGTGAACAATGAGAAAAACAAACCCAAATTAAAGAAAACACACCTGAAGAACATGAGCATGAACTTCGGAATCAACCGCCAAAAGCATTCCTAACAATCTTCCTGAATAAGGTGAAGTCTTCCGTAGATTTTTATCGCCGGAAGTAAAGAAACTACTTAATATCGTAAAATAATAATTTACAAAAAATTATAACCTCAAACATAATCCTAAATTAATTAATTCGCTAAGTCAATAAAAATGCCTTAAGTTTTTAATTAAATTTTCAAATAAAACTAAAAAATACTTTAATACTTAATTTTTAAATTTTTTTTTTTTACGGTTGAATTTCGTTTAATTAATACTCTTTTCTTTTCTTTTCTTTTTTACCTTTAAATTTTTTTAAAATTTTAAAAGCATATTTAATTTATAAAAAAAAAAAAAACACTCTTACCGTTACTAATAAATTATTAATATGCTTGAAAAAATATTCATGAACTTTTACAAATAACAATAAAAAGTATAGATAATTTATGAGGTGTGATTAATGTTTTTTTGTTCTCATATTAACAGTAAATTTTTTAAAAACTTTTATTCAAAAAGGTAAAGATAGTTAAAGTTACTTTTAAAATTTCATAAGTATTTTTAAAATATAACACTAACTAAGAGTATTATTGAGAGTGAGTCCAGTTAATTTAGTGGAAAGATCATAGATTTAGAAGTGAAAAATACTATCTCTATGGGTATGAGACTTTTGGGGAAGCCCAAAGCAAAACTATGAGAGCTATGCTCAAAGTGGACAATATTCATACCATGGTGAAGAGTCATGATTTATAACAGAATGATATTAATGAAACTTTTTAAAATTCAAACGTACTTTTAGCAGTAACGATCTCCATCTATAACAAATGATAAAAATATTTTTTATATTTCTTTTTAAAAATTTAAAAATATGATTAAAATTTTATGAATTTTTTTTTTCACAAAATATATAAAGTGATCCTTATCCATAACAAATTATAAAAATATATTTTATATATATTTTTTAAAATTAAAAAATATTATTAAAGTTTTATGAATATTTTATGAATATTTTTATCAATAGTAAGTAGTATTATATTTTTAAAATTTAATAAATAAAAATAATAATTATCAATTTTTTTGGTCTAATCCTTGGGGTGACCAAACGGCAGCGAGACGGAAGGATGCCTCCTCCGTTCATGAAACGTTCTAAAACTTGGGACTGGCGCCACGTTGCTTAGAATGTGAATGAGACCACACGTGCCACGTGGTAAATATATATTATTTAATTTATAAAAAAAAGAACTAATTCGTCATCGATGAAAATTCAATTGTTCCAGATTTTTCCATTTTCGTATTCACAACTCCGTCCACCGTCGACCGCCGTCATTTTCCATTTGAAAAATCCTTCCAAAACCCCTCGAATTTTCCCTTTTTCTTTCTACCGAAGGAATCATTTACAATTCCTTCTTCCAGAAACCGCGTCGCCTTTCTCCGATCCCAATCCCGATCCATCCCTATAAAACCCTCCCCCTCCACCATCATCTCTCAATCGGAAATCCACCATGGCCGGAGCATCTGAACATCCTAAACCCACCGAATCTCAGGCTTCCCCTGTTCCGCCGCCCTCCACGGAGGAGGAATCAAAGAAATGGGGGACACACGTTATGGGGCCGCCGGCGGCTCCCTCTGAGCATCCGGATAACCATAAGGCGGCGTTCTGGAACGCCGCGGACCAGCAGAAGATCCACCACCATCCGTACGTGCAGTACTCTCCGATGGATCATCGGCCGAGTACTAACCCGTTCGAGCCTGTGGTACACGCTTTCAATTCGTGGAGCAACAAAGCAGAGACTATGGCGCGGAACATCTGGCATAATCGTAAGTGAATTTGGTGATGGATTGAAATTAGCGCTGAAATTAGGGCTTTCGGTTTGTTTATTAAGGATTTTGGAATTTTAATTTTGCAGTGAGGACTGGACCGTCGATGTCCGAGGCGGCTTGGGGGAAATTGAACTTGACGGCGAAGGCTATAACGGAAGGCGGATTTGAGTCTCTGTTTAAGCAGACTTTCGCGACGGAGCCAAATGAGAAGCTGATGAAAAGCTTTGCTTGCTATCTCTCCACCGCGACGGGTCCGGTGGCCGGAACTCTGTATTTGTCGACGGTGCGTCTGGGTTTTTGTAGCGATCGCCCACTTTACTTCACCGCTCCCTCTGGTCAACCATCTTGGAGCTACTACAAGGTAAACTCACCTTTCCACCGTAGTATAATATTGTCCAGTTTGAGCATAAGTTTCCTTGCTGTCATTTTTCAAAAAAGCCTCATAGATCGGATTAGGGCTGATGTGAGGCTCACTCTCAACCATCCTCCCTCTCCCCCTCGAACAAATTAAACTATAGAACCTCCTTGAGACCTATTGAGCTCTCGAACAGTCTCTCTTTAATCGAGACTCGACTTCTTCTTTGGAATCTTCGAATAAAGTACATTATTTGTTCGATTCTCGAGTCACTTTTTTACTACACTTTCGAGACTCACAACTTCTTTGACTAAGTTAAGGGCATGACTATGATACTATGTTAGGGATCACTCATCTTCGTAGTATGATATATTCCACTTTGAACATAATTCTCCTGGCTCGGCCTTCTCGAAAGGCCTCATTGCTTATAAATTCATGATCGGATCCCTAACAAATTCTTCTCTACAAAATTATGAACATGATATTGAATACAGTTTGAATGAAAACTGATGTGGTTGGGATTGGGCAGGTAATGATACCGCTGTCGCATATACCAGCAGTGAACCCAGTGACGATGCCGGGAAACCCATCGGCGAGGTACCTCCAGATCACCACCGTGGACGGCCATGAGTTTTGGTTTATGGGTTTTGTGAATTTCGAGAAGGCAACGCACCACCTCTTGAACGCCGTCTCCGTCCACAATGCGCCACCGTTTACCGCCTGACCGGACATTCTTTTCACCATGCTGAGCATTTCATTATATAGATATTTTTTTACTTAAATTGTGGCTTTCTTGTTGTATATGTACTTTTTGTAGCTTGCGAGTCTTTTACACTCCCATTGTACTATTGCTAGTATACAATAAATCATTTATTTTTGTGTATTATGATTCGTAAACTGGTTTAATGGAAATGTGTTTCGTTGTGGAATCTCACAATCCACCTCCATTGGGGATTAACGTGCACACCTCCCATTGTCTGTCTCTAATATCATTTGTAACTATTCAAACCCACTACTCGTGGATATTGTCTGTTTTGGCCCGCTATATATCACAATCAGCTCACTACTCGTGGATGTTAGTAAGATTCTAACTAATTTTGTTCTCTTTTCAAAAATAAATAAACTTGGGGTGGGAGAAAATAAAATAATTACAATTTTGCATATTTTATATTTTATAACAAAATAAAATATTATTTCTATAATTAATTGTAAATATGGAGACAAAATATTATTTATTAAAATACGATTAAGTACATTTTAACAACAAAATATTATTTTTTAGAATTTTATAAGTTTAGTTTAACCGGTCTAAATTTATTATTATTATTATATTTAATTTCATCGTTATTTTTTTACCTCTTTTTCAGCCATCATTAAAATAAATTTGTAAGTTATTTAAATATTATTTTTAAAAAAAAATTATTGAATGTTTTACATATTAGCATTATATTTGTATTAAAAATAAAAATGATTCAAATAATTCGAACGAACTCAATAAAATATTTTATTATTAAGTTCATTATTAAGTTAGACAAACACGACTCTTCCCAATGGTATGATATTGTCCACTCTGATCATAAGCTCTCATAGCTTTTCTATGGACTTCTCCAAAAGAGCTCATACCAATAGAATTAGTATTTCTCACTCATAAATCTTTGATCATTTTTATTGTAATTAATATTTATTTTTATAGGAGTTAGTATTCCTCATTGATATATGATCATAGATTCAGTATTCCTCATTTATGCTTAAAATTGTAAAATTATTGTAAAATACAAATTAACAATAATTTGCTACCTCCTGTCGGGGGTAGAGAAATATCAGGGAGAGCAAACGGAGCATGGTTCGGTTTGAGCGAACATGAAGAACAGTGGCAATGACAGTCTTGGCGCTGAAGATCGACAACCAAAAGAGAGCACAATCTCAAATCTCGATTCTAGATTCAATCAGACCCTCAGAAATGTACAAGGGTACTAATCTCAATTCCAAATAACTCTTGTTTCCAAATCTTTCATTTCCCTGCCCTTCTCTTTTTTCCGCCTCTCCTGCTTTGCTCTTCACGGGATTTCAAATCCTAGTCGGCCGAGTAAGATTTTGATCTCTAATTCTAATTATGGCTCGTTTTTTCCGGATGTCATTTTTTTCTTTTAATCGGGTAGCTCCATAAATTCCAGACATTCTTCATGCGCATCGGTTTCAGTTCCTCAACTCTGTGAGCTTTTGATCCTCAGAGCCTCTGCTAGATTGTTGAGGAAATTTTCGTGGGTTCTTTAGATCTTGTTATGTGAGCTGTGGCTTACTTGGATACGATCTGGGTTCGATGCCGTTTTGCATTTGGTTTCTGGGAAATTTAATTGTTAGTTTATTAAGTACACATTGGGGCTGTTAATGTCGACACTTGTGGTTGGAAATTTCAATCAGATACCAATTACATTGAATTTTGATAATTGAGTTACAAAAATTGGATAACTATCTTGTTGTTACTTAGTAAGTGCTCCAATTCATCAAAAGTTACCTGGTGTAGTCTACTTTGTTATTGATTACGTCTATTATCCTCGAGACTGTTGTCTGTTGAAGATCAAAATTTCTTTGCTTATGATATCTCACATGCTATGAGCTTGAGCTTCTGGTTTTGTTCTTGTATTTTTCTTATTAAATTCTTAATCACACATCTAGGATCTCTGATGCAGGCTGCTTAAAGGCCGCAGTATTCCTGGTAAAGTATTGCTAACTAGAACAGCAGATGTGCTCGACTCCTCGAGTGTATCAGATAAACCGTCGAATTATTCAAGGAGCTTATCGGATAATGATACTGGTACAAGCAATCACATTGCCAAATCTGAGGAGGTGAGACTGGTTTGAAAATTTTCATATTAATTTAGTTATAACTTTTTTTTTTTGGATGACACGGCGCATTATAGTGAAACTCTCTCTTTCAATATAGGAAGATCTTCAGATTATAAATAATAATTCAATTGTTAATAAGTCAAAATCATCGACATCTAACACTGAGGATCTTACTAAAGAAGTCCAAAAACCAATAATGGGTGCTAGAGCAACAGATTCTGCAAGGGTGATGAAGTTCACAACGCTGCTCTCGGGGACAACAATCATATTAGGTATGCATATGTATTGTTTTAAACAATCCTCCCCCCATCTGGAAGTTACAGATACCTATGGACATTTGAAAGTAGGTAAAGGAACAAGAAACACATTGTGGTACTTACGTTTTATTGTTACAGCTTGACATAGATGCGATAGGCTATTAGCCAACTCTAAAAAGTAGTTTCTTATTAGTTTTGCTGCTGAAAAATATGTATGTAAATGTTCTCCCTTCTATTTGCTATGCAGACAAGTTGCGGGAGCTAGCGTGGAGTGGCATTCCCCCATATATGCGCCCAAATATATGGAGGCTTCTTTTGGTAAGTTGGATGATATACTGATTTTGGCTTAATTTCTGATTGCTTGATAAAAAGCAGGATTCCTTCTTCCTTTTTTTTTAATATTTTTGGATGATTAAGGCCGTTTTGGAGCTAATATTGAAATCTAGTTTCACAGAATAATTTTTAGAAACAGGTTTCAAACTGAAAGCGAATAGAAAAAGGAAGCAAAACCAACATTTGTTTTCCATTTCCCTGTTGTTTTCTAAGTTAACTATTTATATCATCAATTTTATGTTTAAGCAGACACCGATTTCATATGTATTATAGTTTTAAATTTATTCTTAGAAGATGTAAATGAATGTGCAAGAATAAAAGACACTTTCGAAATGGTTTCTTGATTGAAAAACAACAAAAAGATAATTTCTAAAATTAGCTTGCAGAACAGAGTTTTGAAACAAAATTTAGACAAACCAGAGTTTTAAAACAATTTAATGCTGTGAAATAAGAGTTTTGATTATCTTACTGTACTATTTTTGTGAAAAGAGGAAACCAGATGCATATGAACATGATTTGGGATGAAAGAAATGGCTATTGAATGAATTACTTTCGCCAAATGAAATTATGGCGGATGTTTGATATCAGATTTTAATTAGTATAAGAGTGAATGAACATGATGTGGGGTGGTATATGGGATAGGTAGGGTGCGTAGTTGTCAAAATTAGGTGGTTCTATATAGCGTGGTTTAGGAGATACAAATAGATGAAAATATTCAGTTAAAAAAATTATGGAGAAAGATAGTCCTCTTAAGTTATCAGCCTTTGTGTTTTTCTTTATATGGTGTTATACAAAGAAACCTTACTATTTTCATACTTCTTACTTCAATTTTTGGCTCCTCACAAATCGGTATTACAACAATAATTCTAACTGTGGAAGACGAGCACTTGAAACATAATTGCATGGACTGGAGGCAAAAATTTAATCTACTTAAAATTCTTGAAGATAAGAAATGAAAAAGATGAAAGCCTTAACAACATTGATCTGGGAAGAGAAAACTTGACCGTTCTCATATAGTTGGAGCAACTTCGGAGAAAGATGATGGAATAGAAGTATCACACAGCACCAATTGGCCAATAGATTACTAAGGAAGAATTTAAATGAAGGATGAATTTGCCCCCAAATAATGGCTTTTGTTTGCAAGTTACTTCTGAGTGGAAGAAATCTGAAAACCATTTAGTGATGAAGAGGGCTGGTCAAAATTCAGGTGAAGCAGTCACTTGTAGCCCAAGAACAACTAGAACTGAAAGACGAATAATCAAACGAGGAAGAGATAATTTTTGGCTGAATATTTTTGTGAAGTTTGGGTGACATGAACATGGAAAGATACAAGATGTGGTATTGGATGCTTCTTCAGAATTTTTAGATATTACTGAGGGCCTTCCTAAGTTTTTGGAGTCTGCAGGTTCCTTGTCCAAGTAAGTGTTTGTTTTATTATTTTTCATTCATTTGGGAGTTGGAGCAGCCTCTGTAGCTGGATTTGTTATGCTTCTCTCTTCTGGCTTTTGTCCATTGGGCAGTGGTTTAGATGCTGATTATGCATTTCCTTAGTTTAGTTTGAGTGATCTTCCATGTCGTGGATTTGCTTCTGGGATTATTGTGTTTGTTCCTCCCCAGGGCGCTCTGTTCTTCATTGTTTTATTTAGTTTCTTGTATTTACTTGGAGTTCCTTACTTTTTTGGTTTTGTCTGATAGAAAATTACCCAGAGACTTGCCTACCTTCATCTTGAACTAACTTTGAACTTGTCTGATAGAAATCCTTTATTTGCTTGTCCACAATTTAAATATGCACTGACCACAGGGCTATGCACCACCTAATTCAGATAGAAAGGAGGGAGTTCTAAGAAGAAAGAGGCTTGAGTATCTCGACAGTGTTGCACAGTTCTATGACGTTCCTGATACCGAACGTTCTGATGATGAGATAAACATGCTCCGCCAGGTAATGACTGCCACGTTAGTGCTGAACTTTATAATATTATTCTCTAGTTCTACCAATCCTTGAAATTTTGTTTTTGTTAGATTGCTGTTGATTGTCCTAGAACTGTACCTGACGTTGCTTTCTTTCAACAAGCACAAGTTCAGAAATCTTTGGAGCGTATTCTCTATACTTGGTAAAGCATTATCCTTGCCTTTATAGCTGTTTTTTGTACCAAGTGACAAATTTCTTTGTTCGTTATTTTATTACTATTATTTCGTTATATTATTTCATCAATAGAATTTTGAGGGGAGATCTTTCTTAGAGACATGTTATTGTTTGGGTATAACTACATTCTGAAACTTCAACTAATTTTTTCATTGATGTAGTCTGAAGGTGAATACGGAGGATTGAATTATTTATTTATTTGAATACGAGTATCGATTTTCCTATTAGGAGCTTATGAAAATCGCTTCATCGGGAATCAATTATCGAAGGATGTCATTACAAAATATAACTTGGAGTTTTTGATGTGATCAAAAGTTACATGCGAAGTATAAGTTTAGTTATTTATTTACATACAAAGTGCATTTTCCTTTTTGAAACTCTGGAGTCAATTTTTATTTATTGGCGTAAAATGTTCTTAGTTATTCTATACGTAGACACTGACCGAGCTGCGGAACATTGCACGACATTGTCATTGATGTATTATATATCATTTACCCAATTATTTTCAACCCAGGGCTATTCGGCATCCTGCAAGTGGATACGTTCAGGGAATAAATGATCTTGCTACTCCATTTTTAGTTGTCTTCTTGTCGGAATACTTAGAAGGTGGTGTTGAGAAATGGTCCATCTCTGATCTATCTCCCGACAAGATCACAAACATTGAGGCCGATTGCTACTGGTGTCTTTCTAAATTGCTCGATGGTATGCAAGATCATTACACGTTTGCACAACCCGGAATTCAGAGGCTTGTATTTAAATTGAAGGAGCTGGTTAGGAGGATTGATGGTAACTCTCTTTTGATCTCCCTCACAGCCTACAGAATTGGATATGGTAAGCCGTTCATTAACCAATCTTGTGTGTTCCTTAATTTGGCCAGAACCTGTGTCAAGACACATGGAGGAGCAGGGTCTGGAATTTCTTCAATTCGCTTTTCGGTGGTTCAACTGTCTTCTGATACGCGAGGTATGCCACGACATTTGTATATATATATATATATATATATATACTACTGCATTTTCCTCCAGTCACATTCTGTAATTAATGAATATGGAAAGGTAAAACTGGCAGGAGCATTTATATACTTCGTGCTCTCATCAGTTATAATGCAATGTTGATGGTTTTGTTGTTCCATCAGATTCCTTTCCACCTTGTTACCCGGTTATGGGATACTTATCTTGCGGAAGGGGATTCATTGCCAGATTTCCTTGTCTACATATTTGCCAGTTTTCTTTTGACGGTAAGGACATAAAATTGTTGCGATATATAGATAGCACGAGCATTTTCTAGATCACCATGTATTTTGAAGCAAAAGCTACTCGTTCTAACCAATGTTCACGTAGAATTTCCTAGGCTCGACGAATGTATTTTCGTTCGACGTGTTATACTCTGGAAGGACATTTGTTCTGATAATTTGATGCAGTTGTAAATGGTTTACATCACCATGAGTGATCCTAAGATTATGATCTCTCTGAGTTCCTGTTTAAAATAATGAGTGAAGATCTTGTTTGTGCTATAACATTGGCTTAGAGGTTCTTTCTACATACTTTTCAGTGGTCTGAAGAGCTGCAGAAACTTGATTTTCAAGAATTGGTGATGTTTCTCCAGCATGTTCCAACTCAAAACTGGACCCATCAAGAGCTTGAGATGGTGCTTTCAAGAGCATTCATGTGGCACAGTATGTTCAACAATTCTCCAAGACACCTTGTTAGCTGAATGGGATTTGTTATACTCACACTAAGGTTGGCCAATTTTCCCCTCCTTTTTCTCTTCTTTCTTGAATGGGATTTCTGCCGCTCTTCTTGTGTGAGGAAACGATTCGAATATTCTGCCATGTATCATTTGTATTTTCTGGGCAATTGTTTGTAGATTTACCATATTTGACGGAGTAAAGTACATGTTTTTGTTTAGATCTAATGAAGTTATCTATTAAAAAAAAGATGGATGGTTGATCTTCACATACTTGCATATTTTGTTTATTATGTTCGAGAGATTTTGATTGTCGATGTCAAGGAGACGAGTGTCCGTTCTACGTGTTTATGTCATAGCAATTTAAAGGTTAAAACATCATTTTAGTCGTGGAAGTTCATTCCATTCTTATCTTTATACTTTCAATTGTCCAAATTTAGTTCTAGTTACTCGAGATGAATATAAATTATCACCTTATGAACATGTATGAACAAGGATGAGACTCTTGGACTGTATGAATGGAAAAGAAACATTTTAGTTATCAGAGGCTCAAAACTCCCACACATAGGAGATTTCCATAGACGAAATTGAAGAACTCAAAAGGCTCAGAAGTCCAAAACAATGATCATCCAAAGAACAGACTCATGTTTGCTCTAAAGATGTTCACTCCTAAGCATTAAATTTCATTTAAAGCAGTAAGAAACAGAGATGAGTACCTCAAAAATCAAATACAGATTAAAGAATTTGAAGTTTCATCAGTTTCTGTTCAACATCCCTCTGAGGAACTTCTCAGGAGAATCCAAGAACTCAGCACATTCTTTCTTGACCACTGCAGCAAACTCTTCCCTAAATCTCTCAAGATTCTTGATCAAAATCTTGAAAGTCAGTTTATCTGGAATACAACCTGATGCTTTCATTAATTCATATGTCTCAACAGCTCTTTCCACCATGTCTACTTGCAAATATGCTCCCATCATCTCATTAAAAGCTCTTGTGTCTGGTTCTAACCCATCCCTTTTTAACTCATGGAAGACCTCTTCAGCCATTTCAATCATTTTGTTCTTCCCCATCATTTGAATCATCACATGGTACAAGTTTAAATCTGGCTCGTACCACTCTTCATTCCTCATAAATTTGAAGACCTAAAGCCTGAATTCAGTTAAGATGAAATAAAATTTGAAGTGGCAGGATTGCTATAGGCTGCAGAAGAGAATAAAATGGAACCGTTCCAGTAAACTTATTGTTAGGAATCACGAACCTCTACAATGGTATGATATTGTCGACTTTGTATTCCTTATAAACTCATGATCATTCCCTAAATTAGCCAATGTGGGACCTCCCTCCCAACAATCCTCAACAATCCTCCACTCGAACAAAGTACACCATAGAGCCTCCCCTGAGGCCTATGTAGCCCTCGAACATCCTCTCCTTAATCGAGGCTCGACTCCTTTCTCTGGAACCCTCGAACAAAGTACACCCTTTGTTCGACACTTGAGTCACTTTTGACTACACCTTTGAGGCTCACAATTTCTTTGTTCGACATTTGAGGATTTTATGGATATGGCTAAGTTAAGGGCATGACTCTAATATAATGTAAGGAACCACGACCTTCCACAATGGTATGATATTGTTCACTTTGAGCATAAACTTTGATGGCTTTACTTTTGATTTCCCCGAAAGGACTCATACCAATAAAGATGTATTCCTTATTTATAAATTATAAATCTATGATCATTTCCTAAATTAGCCAATGTCAAATAATTTAAGTTCTTGTAAGGGAAAACCTACAACAGAATAAATGATAGCGAAAAAGATGCAAAAACATAGCTACAATCACACCATTAGGCTTTTCCTCATCGTTGTAATTGAATCTCTGATAGTTGTAGCTTGAAAAAACGCAGACGATTAAACCCTAAACCTTGAATTCTAAGCAACCACTGCTATTGAGTTGAACTAAAGGCAGCCTCTAAGAGAGTTTAAGGTATAATTCGATCAATCTCATAATTTAAGGGTAAGATATCTGGTTTTTACAATATTCCGATACGATTAACAGCAGTAAGCAATACCTGAAGCGATAGTTCCAGTTCATTTTGCCTCTGTAATTCAGCCAGAGCATCAAACAAGTCTGCTTTCAACAATCTGCTAAGCTTGCTATTGATTACGTCCTCCATTTTGGAGGCGGATTTAGCGAGCTTGAGCGACTGAACTGCTTGAATAGACTCAGTGGAGGGCACCCTTGACTTACCTAAGGGCTTCCTCTGACCCTTTCTGAGGCCACAGATGGTATCTGGAGGTGGACCTGCCGTACAACAATGGAGGGTTGGATTTGTGAGGTTTTGGCGGAAACCCAATTGAGGGAAATGGAGTTGAAGACGACCCATTAGCGTAGATTTCATCTCGACTGCCCTTTTGCGAGAAACTCAGTTCAGTGAAGGCGGAATGGTGTCCTTACGCTCCAGTAGGAGTCTGATTTCCACGAAATTATTATATCCTTTGTCTTAAAAAAAAAATAGTTCTAAACCTCTAGAGTACTCTTGTAACTCTTAAAAAGGTCTTAAAATACAAATTTTTGTTAGTTTTATAAGAAAACGGTTAATATTCGAACGTTCAAACTCTAAATTTTATTATCACATATGGGTTCAAACTCTAAATTTTATTATCATATATGGATGAAAACTGTCTATCGATATCTCATAAATTACTGTCAATATATTCGTTTCGTCAAATTGATTTTCATTTCAAAATTAAAATATGACGAGTTTAAATTATAAATTTAAAATTCTTTAGAGTCCGAAAATATGTATAACAAGGGGAAACAATTCTTTTATAATAATAGTGAAACAAGTCCCAAATAACATATTTTGGTCCAATAACTCACAACAACAGAAGTGAAGGTATTTTGGGAACTGAATTTCCATTTTATGAATCCCTATAAATAGTGGTTTATAGGAAGAGTTCTAAATCAAGGTGAAGAAAGATACATAATTCAGTAGTTCTTAACTTTTCCTCATCAAATATAATTATACACTCATAACAAGGCAGGGGGGAAAACTGAAGCATAACAGCAAGTGTTTTCTCATCATATACAAATTTCTGGCTTGTTCTTCCTCTGGTAAAGGAATGAGAGATTCATGAGATTATTGTAATAGCCACTCACTCTTCATCATCTTCAAGGCCTGGTATGTATTCCAGACTGACATCAAATACCACAGGGCTACTTGGAGCTACCCTTGGCCTACCTGGAGCTGAAGTCAGGCCTTTTGGGAATGCCAACTACAGGAACACAAACATTGAAAAAGAATTATAATGTGATGTTACTCTCTTGAAAGAAGGTCGGTTGGATATTATAATAGCCCCAAGTCCACCGCGTTGGCCTCCCCATCAGCCTCACGATTTTAAAATGAGTCTACTAGGAAGAGGTTTCCACACCCTTATAAGGAATGTTTCGTTCCTCTCTCCAACCGATATGAAATCTCACAATCCACCTCCCTTGGAGCCCTAGCGCCCTCGCTGGCACATTGCCCGGTGTCTGGCTCTGATACCATTTGTAATCAGTCCAAGCCCACCATTAACAGATATTGTTTGTTTTGGCCCGTTACGTATTACTGTCAACCTCACGGTTTTAAAACGCATTTACTAATGAGAGATTTTGACACTCTTATAAAAAAATGCTTCGTTATCCTTTCAATCGACGTGGGATCTCACACTGATCCTACTTTCTTTTGTCCAATTGTCCACTTTCCTTTTCCAGTTGATTATCTCGTTCTACCCCATATTGCAATATATTTCTGCTTCTATTTTTCTTGAATTTCAATCTCTAGGTATCATTCCAAACAGTCAAATTAATTTTACAAGACTGCAATTATTAGCTCCTACGTTCCTAGTAGTTTTAATGGGTTGAGGTGTTTTAGGAGGGAAATAAGTTGAAAAAACTCCGAGAGGAAATAGAGAAAACACATCTTACAGATCCAGGAATGTACAGTCGACGCTTCCCACCCACTTTCATGCTTAAAATCCCTTCATCAAGTCCTTTGATCACCTGTTTTATTCGATTGTTTCAAAAAACAGTAATAAACTCATGGACCCAAAGGACTAGAAAAGAAAAAGGCACTTAAAAGCACTTACTTGACCAGATCCAACGCGAAAAATGTAAAGCTGCTTCTTCTCAAGTGAACTATATAAAATGGAAGGCAGATTAATATTTTAAGGTCAAGTCAATTGATAGCGTCCACATAATGCATTCGGCTTAACCTGTCAAAAATTTGTCCAGATGGAACCATTGCAACATAATTTGCCGCCACCTGTGTGTAAATCATCATAAAGGTTAGAAATTGAGGTAAAAGTCAAAATTCTTGAACTTTTTTCACTGTTTACTCACAAATTCATTTCAACCTGGATAAATAATTGTCTACTATCGGGTTAATACAAGTTACTAAAGAAAACAGAACAAATTACAGACCTGAAATCCAACAGGTGGACTGGGGCCTCCACCAACTTCGATGTCCTTGTACTGCAAACCAGACTCAGTCGTGACCATAGGAACCTTCATCAACAATAAGAATTCCAAAAGTCATTGTCTAGGTGGATCTGCAAATGAGAAAGTTAGTCTTAAATATACAAATGCAGCCTCAACTTTAAGAAATTGAAGTTGTTTGGTGCAATTTTGAATGATATAAAATATATTTTTTCAAATATCTATGAGTATCTAAGTCAGCTTGCATGCATTTCTTAGTTGCCAATAAAACTCGTAGAATATTGAATACTAGCGAGGTGGTTGTCATATATTAAACCCACTCCTATAAACCATTAATGGTTACATTTCCCCCCTTATTGACCACCAGGTCAGCCCATAGTGGTTAGAATAATATAAAATGTTGTTAGACATGAATGTTTGAATGAACTAATAAAAATGTCAAAGTTGTCCATCAAGATTTAAATGTCTAACTCTAACAATGTATCGCCCATAAGAATCAGCTTTAAGCATCGAAGAAAAGTTAGAACTAAGAGATGCAGGACAAAGAAAAAAAAAAAAAAAAAAGAATTAGGAGTGGTATTGGGTCAAAGAAACTAGAGTATCAAGATAATACAAGGTAGGAAGAGAATAGGAGAAAGGTTTAGGAAGAAACGAGAAGATACCGGGCGGAGAACTCGCGAACTTAATTGATATACAATCCAAGTTAATGAAAGGACATGTAACCTCACCATACATTTTCAAGTTCTTTCTCACAGGCATCGTCACATAATCTTGGCTTGTCTTCTGGAGGCAAGCCAGCTGCCTTGGCATTTAGAACATCTATCACGAGACTGGACATTCCACAAACTAAACCAATCATCTCTCTTCTTCTAGTCAAATTGAGTTCCTTCCCATACTCTTTCATCCGCCATTCTTTTGCATTGATATTGGCATTCAAGCAGCGCACAACAAGAGGTCGTATTTTATCACTGGAAATTCTTTGGTGTATTCCAGAAGCTGAACCTGACTCATGCAACAAGATGAGCATCGAAGAGATGAATCTCAAAGTATAAGGTTAAAATGTTAAAGTACAGATTGAAAATATAAGTTATGCATGTGCACTTCATCAAACATTAAATTAGTGTATAGTCTACATTCCGAAACAATGTGCCCTTCCCCTAGTGATAATTAATAAATAAAAAAAGTATTTAACTCTTCTAAGTGTGTCAACATGAATATAGCTCAATTGGCACAAAGCATGCACCATCGACCAAAACGTTAGAAGTTCTAAGAAATTGATCGAGTTGTTTCTCACACAACCTAAAGTCTCACTGGCATAGGAATATGAACAAAAGATAAACATTTCGATAATATACGGACATAAATTTGTCCAAGCTTAGGAAAAATGATTGTCGTAACCACTAGGAATTTTCACAAGTTGAATGGATGGAAGAACCTGAAGACAAGTTGAAAGAGGACAAATATACAAGTTATTAAGATACCATATTATATTGAATTCAAGATTAATCCAGACATTTTGATGCTTGAAATAAAGTTCACTCTATCTCTTATTTTTCTTCCCATTTCCCCTTGATTATGTGAATTCAATTTCATCAGCATAATCTAACATGTCAGTTTCATCAAGCTTGCTAAACTCATAAAACATATACATATAATATGTTCCTGTCCACATTGTTTAATCATCTTAGATAACAAACCGTGTTTTTTCCTCCCGAGTTGCCATGTAAAATCGACATTTTCTTCAGCATTTTTCAAACATTAGAAAATTTCGCCATCCTTAAACATTAGGTAGTGTCAACTAACAGATCAAAGATGTTATCAATAAGAATATCAACAAGAAAGCAACACCAAATTCTAAATTCTAAACGAAGATTAAAAGATCCAGAGCCCACATTTATCGATTCATCCCCAAAACAGAACATGAGAAAACGAGACAAAATCAGTGGACTAAAACAGTGAATCAAGAGATGGAACAGAAGTAAAACTGTGATTAAAATGAAAATCGAGATTGTAGAGATGAAGAATCAAAAGGAAAAGGAATTATTACCAAGCGGGAGCAACATTGAGGAGGCGGAAGACGCCATAGAAAATTGAGAGCAAGGTGTTGGCACCGTTGGGAAACGGATAACGAAATCTTGAACCTTCGGTTTAAATAGCTGCCGAGTTGGCATCCCCATGTGGCTCTTTAAATTTCATTTCAATCCCTCTAATTATCTTATTTTTTTCCACTAAAAAAAATAATAAATAAATATAATTATCTTATTTCTATTTTATTCTCTCCCCTTTTTGACTCGTGCGAGCTACACTATGGCACATATGTGTATAGCATGGGCAAGCGTCTCGAGCGTCTTCCTTTGAAATGGGTCTTTCAAGGATAGTGTCGATCGACATGGGTGTGTAGGCAATGCACTCAACCCCATGTATTGGAGGTTGGTATATGCTCCCGTTATCTGATATGGAGTCTATAAGTGACACAGTATGGACACGGGAGAGTTCATATCCTGATGAGAACTCGAATTGATAAGTGTTCAAGATGTTCAGATGAGATGAACAGCGCATGGGTCGATCCCAATAGATACATCCGAGCAAGCCAACATGGTTAAGCTATCTCAAGATATGGGATGACATCACGATGCATAGTTGTGTTGTTGAGAACCAAGATGATGATTGAGATATGACGTTGTATATGAGAGACCTTGGCCTAAAGTAAAAGTATGATCGAGCTAAATGACTTGACTTACGGTAGAGACAAGTCAGCTACAGTTGGAGACAATTTTGATTTACCTAGATTTATGCGAACAACTTTATTATTTATTATTATTTAAAAAAATGAAAATTTAAGAACGAGTGGGACGAACCAGACAATGGCAATTCCGGTTCAGTGAAGAGTCGGTTTTGTTGGACCAAAAAGCCAAAAACCGTGTAGAACGAACGATTACGGAGGAACACGAGTGATTCTGTTATCTTCAATCTATCTCAACTCAACACAATTTCTCAATTCTTTTC